GTGATCATATCTATGGGGGATTATCTTGATTGCTTATGATAACTGATGTGTCTACTGTGAGTAGAACTGTTCCTTAGGCAGGGGACCTCAGAGTGTGTAAGTATAGAGATGGAAGTGAGAGAAAGTCAGCATGCACACATTTATTTTTCTCTGTTCTTGACTGAGAATATGGCTACCTGTTTCAAGTCCCTTCAATGATGGGCTATAACTTGGAAATGTGAGCTAAAATAACCCTGTCTCTCTTAAGTTGTTTTGATCAGGGTATTCAGGGGGAGCAACAGAATGGAAACTAGGAAAGTTGATAGTCACGTTCATGAAAACACAGCAAAGTTACAAAAAACAAAATGAAAACAACCCACAGCAGAGCAGAAATACGAGAGAGAGAGAGAGAGACAGAGAGAGAGAGGAGAATGAAAATGAATAATAACACTAGATAACCAAAACAGAATGAGCAATAGGAGAGGAAAAAAGGCATGCAGGCTCTAGAAAATTAACAGATTAAATAAGAAAAAAATAACAAATTGACAGTACCGTCTTCATCAGCAATAACCTTAAAAGTAAAGGATTAAAGTTCCCCAATTAAAAGATACAGACTGGCTGAATGAGGAGCAAACAAAGACATAAAACCTTAACCCAATAATGTATTGCCTGTTAGAAAGTTACTTCATTAGACAGCACACTGTTGTGGAGTATTATTTTAAGAAGTGTTACAATTGTTTATGCTGTGGAACATTTTTGATGCAAAGATGTGCTGCATTCTTTTATGTTATATTTGTCTAACTCTGTGAAGCTGTGTTTCTTTGCCTGTCTAAAACAACTGATGGCTCTAATAAAGAGCTGAACAGCCAATAGCAAGGCAGGAGAAAGGAAAGGCAGGACAGGCAGAGAAAATAAATAGGGGGAGATCGAGGAGCTAGAAAAGATGGGGCCACTCACTTAGCCAGATATGGAATAAGACGGAAAGAAAAGATATACAGAAACAGAGAAAGGTCAAAAGGTAGACAAGATAATTTAAGAAAAGTCGGCTAGAAATAAGCCAAGGCAAGGCCGGTCATTCATATGCAATAATAAGTCTTCACATGATTTATTAGGGAGTTGAGTGGTGGGTTCCCTAAAAGAACAAAGAGACAAAGAATAAAACAAACAAACAAACAAGAAAAACCAACTACAGCACACAGAATCTGAGAATGCAAGAATGGAAGGTTTACGTACTGTGGTTTGGGTCTTGTCTGTCTCCCTTAAACTCATGGATTAAAGGCTTGGGAAGTGATGGAAACTTTAAATGTTTCTCATTGGAAATCTTAGAACACTGGGAGCATGTCCTTAAAGGGGATAATGGGATTTCAGCCTCTCCCTTTCCCTCCTCTGTCTTTCAGTTGCTATGAAGCAAACAGTTTTCTTTACTGCACACTCCAGCCAGGATATACCATCTTTACAAAGGCCCAAAAGCAAACAGCCAAGAAACTATAAAGATTGAAATCTCCAAAGTCATGCATCAAAACAAACTTTTCCTCTTTTCAAATTGATTTATTTCATATATTCATTATGGTAATGGAAAGTTGAACACTATAACATGCAAAAAGAAATCAAAAGTGAATAGGAGTAGGTTGTTAACTTGTATCAGATAAAATGGACTGTAAGTCAGAAAATGTACAAAGAGATGAAGGTCACTATATAAAAGAAAATGGATCAATTCAACAAAAGGAAGCATATAAATATATATGCATATGTGTGTGTGTGTGTATGTATGTATGTATGTATGTATCTTAGGATTTTTATTGCTGTGAAAAGACACTGTGGCCAAGGCAACTCTTACAAAGGACAACATTTAATTGAGGTGTTAGCTTACAGTCCAGAGGTTCAGTCCATTCTCATCATGGCAGTGTGCAGGCAGACATAGTACTGGCTCTATCTTGATCGGAAGTTGACTATGACACCAAGCAAAGCTTATGCAAAAACCACTGCAAAGGCTGCCCCTGACAGATACTTCCTCCAACAAGGTCATACCTACTTCACCAATGCCAACCTCCTAACAGTGATACTCCCTTTTGGATTATGGGGGCCAATTACACTCAAACTACCATAATACATAATACCAAATATTTAATAAAAATACTTACTCTAACAGAGGAACAGATTCAAAACTAACAATAACCAGGCACTGAAGCAATTTTATTAACAGATAATTTTTACCCTTGGGTAAATCATTCATAAAAATCAAGGAAAAAAAAACAGAGTTAAACTATACTTCAGACCTTATGGACATAACACACATCTATAGTCCAAAAAACTTCCGAATAACATTCTTTTTATTAGCACATGGAACAGTCTATAAGGAAATTATTATAAGCTGTAAAACAAGTCTCATGAAATTTAAAGAAAATTCTGACCACAATGGAAATCAGTAAGAAGGACTTAAGAAAATACAAATATATCAGTTAAACAACATTCTCTTCAGAGAAAATTGAATGAATAAAGAAATCAAAGTGAAATGTAAATATTTCCTAAAACAAGAGTGTCTCAGCTAAGCACTGAGCTGAGCTCCCAGAGTCCAACTGAAGAGATGGAGGAGCAATAATATGACCAAAGGGGTCAAGTCCATGACGGGGAAACCCACAGAAACAGTTGACCTGAGTTAGTGGAAGCTTACTGACTCCAGATTGACAATTGGGGAACCTGCATAGGACTGAACTAAGCCCTCTGAATATGGATGACAGTTGTGTGGCCTGGGCAGTTTATGGGGCCACTGGCAGTGGGACCAGGATTTTTCCCTAGTGCATAAACTGGCTTTTTGGAACCCACTCCCTGTGGAGGGATACTTTGCTCAGTCTAGATACAGGGGTGAGGACCTTGGTCCTGACTCAAAGTGATGTGACAGACTTTGTTGACGTCCCATGGGAGACCTCTGACAAGTGGATGAGTGGTGGGGTGGGGAGAAGGTAGGGGAAGTAGAGGAGGGGAACTGGGATTGGTATGTGAAATAAAAAGATTGTTTTAAACAAATCTAAAAAAGGATTATAACAGACAAAAAACAAACAAACAAAAAAACAAGGGTATCTTAATTAGGGTTTCTATTACTGTGAAGAGACACCAGGGCCATACCAACTGTTAGAAACATTTACCTGTGGTGGCCCACTTACAGTTCAGAGGTTTGCCCATTATCATCATGACTGGGAGTATGGCGGCATGTAGGCAGACATGTTGCTAGAGAAGAAGCTGAGTGCGCTTACATGTTGACTCACAGGCAACAGGAAGTGGTCTGAGACACTGGGTAGTATCTTTCGCCCACTACCACAATGACACAATTCCTCTAACAAGGCCACACCTCTTAATAGCACCACTTCCTTTAGGTGTCATTTTTTTTCCAATCCACCACAAAGGGTAACATAAAACTTTAAATATATTACTAAAAAAAATTGACAAGGTATAGCAAAAGCAGCACTAAGAGAGGCAGTCAGTGCCTACATACACATACAGAAAAGACTCCAAATACAGACTCTAAAAATAAAACAAAGGAATGAGAAAAACAAGAATAAAGCTGAATTGCTAGAGGAAATTTCTAACTAAACAAAAACTTAGAACCAGGAGACAAATAAAGCATGAATAGACCAATAATGAGTAAGAATAGAGCAGTAATAAAGTCTCCCAATAAAAAAAACCCAGGACCGTATGGATTTATTGTAGACTTTACCATATAAGGAAAACTATTTTTATTTCTTCTCAAAGTATTCCAACATATTGAAAAGAGGCAACCCTTTCAATTTCATTTACAAAGCCAGCATTACCCTGGCACTAACTTAGACAAGGAAACAATGTGACAGAGTGGTGCCAAGGAATGGCAGAAGAGGAGGAAAGGCTGTAGATAGTTAGAGAATAATTGGGAGATGAAAAAAAAGACAGTCGTTAGACCGGGGCTTAAAAAACTGTAGCACAAGGCCCTCTGTACCTGTCATATCACTTCTTTTTTATATAAAAAATTATTCAACCAGTCACAGACCTGCATATTGATGGTTGCTTTCAATGTTTGTTCCCACAGCAAAAATGAGTTGCTGTCACAGACTGAGATGCCACAGAGTCTAAACTATTTGTTCCTTGAACAGAAAATACTTCCTGAATCTTGACTTTGACACATTTTCTACATGCTTTGTATGCAAAGGACAGATGATCAAGCAGCTAGAAGGAGAAATATACTGCAGATTTTGCTTTGTTTTATTTAGATGTTAAAGAGATGAACAAGTCCCTATATGGAAGTTATCAATGTACCACAGAGGGAGGAATGAAGCACTAACTGAAGAGTAAGAGCTTGGGGGCTGCAGGGGACTGTCACTTGTCATGTGGGAAATGATCACAGTATACGCACAGCAGGGGTGTGTGAGGGACTTATCTTCAAGAAAACTTAGAATCTATGGCCATAATCTAAATAAGGCAGAAAAGAAAGGTATTTTGCCAAATTGTTGGGTCCCTGTAAGCCATAGTTCCATCATCACCATACTGCACTGGAGAGTCTAACCCAAGAACTGTCAGGGACTCTGTAACTATGCAATGTCACCAAGATGCTTAATAATATTGTGGTTCTCCTGGCCCCAGGATGCTGTGAAAATTCAAAGGCAGATTATTTCATTATATATGAACCATGGAAAGTCCAGATAATGGAAAGCATTTAGGTCTGATAAATTTGCAGAGGGAAACTGGGAAGTATCAGCCACAGATCCGTTAGCGGTTTCTGCAACACTTAACCATTTTCTGTCTAGTATGACGCATACTCATAGGCACCTTTTTCTTCCACACTTGGACTCGTAGTTTGTTGTGTATATACAACCTAAACATCCACTGCTTTCATAGATTACCAGGGTCAGAGAAAACACTTCGCTGGGAAAGTGGAATGAAATAGAAGCTGTGATCTGACATGATAATAAGTTTCTTGCTCTAATCATTCCTTCCAAGGGCATTTAAATTGACCTCTCTTTGTTGAAAGATGAAGATTCTACACAGAAACTTACTTGTTCCCATGAAGAAATCATATGACGTTCAGCAGGTAGCTTTTCTATTATGCTTACTTCTGTCACACCTGGGGAAGATTCTGGAAGAAGAAAAAATATGGTATAAAGTTGTAGTTGGCCTGCTCACACATTCTGTACTTTAGGTTGGTTATATGTTAATTACTACTCTATGGCTGTCCAATCCTTCTGATGAGCATTTACATCCCCTGTGAGCAAAGTAAAGGACTGTCTGATCCCTCAAAGCCCCAGTACCATAACCTTGTAGAACACAGCATACCTCAAAGAAAGACCACAACTAAACTGTCTCTACCCTCTACATTTTTCTAGTTGAATAACATACAGAGATTCTAAACTTTCAGTGATTTCACACTGGATGTCTTGACTAATGTCTATATACACAGTTAAAAGGAATAAGGAATAGCACCTCTTTAAGTTTCTATAAGAAATAAGACTTATCCAGGTATGGTGATACAGGACTTTAATCCAGCAATCAGGAATCAGAGGCAAGCAGGCAGGTATCTGTGAGATTGAGGCCAATATGGTCTACATATAGCAAGTTCCAAGACAGCCAACCCTGATTTAAAAAAAAAAAAGGAGTTGATTTCTAACTTTCTTCTAAATAAAATTCATCTACTGGACATAACATTCCACTTGATGGAGTTCAGGATTTAAAAGCTAGACTAGGCTAGGCTAGGCATTATGGTACCAAACTCTACTGAAGTACTTGCCAGAATGAGGGAGCTGGTTCTAACAGAAGTCAAGGCTACACTGTACTAGTGTGTTTCAGGTAAGCCCAAGCTGCAAACAATGCCTAAATAAACAAACAAATTCAAAGCTGGGGTTGGGGAGATGGCACAATGGGCAAAGATTGCTATGCAGGTTTGATGTGTGGTATGGGAGGTCCTTCTGTCTATGTGTTGCTTTTATTGGTTAACGAATAAAGGAACTGCTTTGGGCCTATAGCAGAGCTATAGGGGAACAGAGCTAGGTGGGGAAAACTGGACAGAATGCTGGGAGAAGGAAGGCGGAGAGGGAGATGCTTTGGAGCTGTCTCCAGAGTCAGACGCTGGGAACTTTAGCTGGTAAGCCACTATTGTATGAGTTACAACGGGCTGCGTTGAGCAAAGTAAGCTTTTGAGGGTGTTCACAGCAACCTTCCAGAAGGGCGTGGTCTATCATACCACATTGGTCTAGAAGCAATCTACAGGGTCTCATCTTCTGTGAAAACAAAAGAAGAACCTCTTTTCCAAAGCATCATATCCTTAGACCCACATTCTGAAGTTATAATACCTTTATAATATAATGCTGGTTTAGCTTAGCCCATACAATGAAATGTCTCTCTGAACTTAGCTCCTTCACAGTCAAAAAATTTAAAGAAAATACAATAATACACATAATCCAAACTCTCTGTGAATTTTCCATCTTTACGTGGCTTATTTTTTCTTTACTTCTTTTAATCTATGACTATCTGTACTCTGTCTCTTTAAAGACTTTACCCTTTTCTTAAAGCATTAACTTTATTTTATGACTTTTAATACTTTTTTCTTTTCTCTCCCAAGCCTATGAATGTCTATCTAACACTATGACCCATTTAGAGGTCTTTTATGTCTGAATCTGTCCTACTGCATTGTCTTTAATTCTCCACTGTCTAAAAGAGCTTTTAAAATACTAAACAGCTTGGTTGCAGCTGCTCTGGATGTTGGCTCCACCTCTCTCCAATTTCAAAATGGTGGATGTACCATTTCTGCTAGCTCTGGAGCTGCCAGGTAGGAGCCGCAGTTAGCACTTTAACTCTGAGAATGAGCTTTTTATCTGAGTTACAGCCAAATCTGTCAGTCAGAGCACTGCGCAGCCTGGAAACATCTCTCTGTATGGCAGCAGAAATGCGCCATGCTCTCCTGCTTATGCAAGGCTAGTAAACCTGATCCCGCAGCATGCCCAGGCAGGGAGCGCTGAGTCACAGGCATGGTCTCAGCCACTTTCCTCCCAACCCTAGTGGGCACAGAAACACCTGGGGCCCACAAATGTCATTGAAATGCTTTATAGCCGGAGTTTGCTCTGGCAGCACAGCCCAGGAAGCCTCGTTTTAAAATGGTGCACTTTTTTCCTCCTGTGGCTGCTAAGTCAGGAAAATTTCTCTCTGGCACCCCGCCAGCAAACAGCAAAAGGCTATGCTAAACAAAGCTGTGTTAAACTCTATATTTGTGTCTAGAATTCCTTTTAAAGCCCTCTCAGGTTTTACGTGGCATTAGTTAAGCACAATGGGCACCACTCAGTAGTATGGTGAGCTGGCTGTGTCCACCACCTGGCTAGTTTAACCCCTGAAATAACCACACAGAAAGTGTATTAATTAAATTACTGCCTGGCCCATTAGCTCTAGCCTCTTATTGGCTAACTCTCACATCTTGATTAACCCATTTCTATTAAATCTGTGTATCACCATGTGACTGTGGCTTACCAGCAAGATTCTAACCTACGTCCATCTCAGGCAGGAGATTCATGGTGTCTACCTGTCTCTGCTTTCTTCCTCCCAGAATTCTGTTCTATCTTTCCTGCCTACGTGAGTTCTCCCCTATCAACCAAGAAGCCATGCTTTACTCTATTCTTTTCTGCCCAGAATTACTTCCCAAGCTCAGTCAGGCTTTAAGTGGATACAGTTGTCCATGTGGGCGCCATTCTGTAACATGAGGGCCTGCTCGTTGGGGTTTCTGTCTTGCCCAGTTCCCACAGTCATTTAGCCCCAGAAGAATCACACAGAGGTCTCCATAAGATTACAAACTGATTGGTCCATTAGCTCAGGCTTCGTATTAGCCCTTATAACTTATATTAATCCATTATTCTTATCTATATTAGTCACATGGCTCGGTACCTTTTTCAGTGGGGCAGGTCACATTCTGCTTCTTCGGTGATCTGGTCAGGACTGCCGAGGGAGCTTCCTTCTTCCCAGAATACTCCTATTCTCATCGCCCTGCCTCTACTTCCTGTCTGGTTGACCCGCCTATACTGATCTGCCTGGCCAATCAGCATTTATTTTAAACATGATTGACAGAATACAGACAATTCTCCCATACCTCTAATTAGAGTTGCTATTTAATTGCAAACATTTGAGAGACCCCAAATTAGAAGTATCTCAGTTAAACCTCAGTCACTGCTGGACTTAGAAGAGCAGTTACTAATTTGCTTCAAACTATGGTGTATTTGGAGTAGATCAGCAATAGATAAGTGGAATACACTTCAACAGTCAATGATTCAAGATTTAATGAGGATCTGCTATGGCCTCAACTTGGGAAAATTACTATTAGGTAATAAAAATTTAGGTAAGAAACACTGTTTGAAGAAGCACTGCTAGTTAGATATACAACACAAATGTTTAAAACCAGGAAAGCTTCAAGATAATGCATAATTATGTTAAACTTGGTAAAAATGATCCCGAGTACCATAGTAGTTAGAGGCAGGAGGTCTATGAAGACTGAACACATTAAAGGTGTCAAAAATAATGTCCAGTTGATCTGGACCTTGTGGAATGATGTGGCAATTTCTGCATTCTGGCTCAAAGGAGACTTATTTTGTTCCTTCCAAATTTGCATTCTTGTGTTTTAGAGACTGGTCAGCTGATGATTACAATTTTCAGAATCCAATAAAACTAAAGCCTGCCAGGTGAAGTCAATTCCTATATAGAAACCTACTCTCATAAAATCTGGACAAGTAATTAGTAGGTGAGACAGCAGGCAAATAGAAAAACTCTCTTTTCTTCTACTGATTAATAACATACAAAAAATACTGTGTGAGTACTACTGCCTTTGAGTCCCCATCAATGGCTGTTTGTAGCCATGTAAAAATCTTTATTGGCAGTTTTGATTCAACCTGTTTTGTGTATGCTTTTGGAAACTACAAATAGCTGAACTGGGTTTTGACCCAGATTTAAGTCTTTTGTTGATATTCATTTATGCTACACACACACACACACACACACACACACACACACACACACACACAAGCATATCCCCACATACATATATATGTGTATGTGTGTACATATATATATATTAATTTTTAAATTCATCTATTTATTTTACATCCTGGCTGTAGCCTCCCTTTATTGTTCATTTTTATTTATATGGGTGTATGTATGCATATATGTCTATGTACCACATGTATTCAGGGCCAGTGGAGCCTAGAATAGGGCATCAGATGCTCTAATACTGGAGTTATAGGCCATTATGAGCCACGATGTGGGTGCTGCAGACCCAAGTCCTCTGGAAGAGCAGTTAGTAATCAACTGCCGAGCCATCTCTTCAGCCTATTACGTTTGTTTGTTTGTTGCTTAAAACATTTGGGGAATATATTGGTTTTTGCATTGGTAAGCAATCAGCATGAATCTGAAGTTTTAAATACCATCCTATTAGCTCACAATTCTGTAGCCCAGAAGCCTGGCATGGTATGATTGGGTTCTACACTCAACTGTTTCACTGATTGCTCAGTTGTCAGCTATTATGCTTTCATTTGGAGCATGGAGTCATCTTGTTGGCTCATTTATGTTTTTCAAAGAACTCGGCTCTTTGTAGTTGTAGTAGGGCTACAGTTTTCATTTTCTTAATTGCTATTAAGACCAATGCTACTGCTGTAAAGGCCTTTACTTCCTGTCAAGTGGTTCCACCCATCTTTAAGCAGACAAGAACATTACAAACCATTCCATATTTCATATCTCTTTGGCATCCCTTTTTGTTAACAGCCTGTTTTAAAGGGCATGTTTGACTTAAATAAGCTTACCTGAATAAGGTCCCTTTTGTCATTTTATCATTTAACATATCAAAGGTTTATATTTCCTAGGCTTCATAATATTGGTGTTCAGAGTGAGAATTCTTATAATGGCTATTTTTTAAAATTCTTCTTTTTAAAATTAGCATCATTAAGACATAATTCCCATATCATAAAATTTACTCCTTTAAATCACATAAAATTAGTAAGTCCGGTGTTTTAATGGAATTGTGTACATTATTATACTGAGAAGTAACATCGTATCTATTAGCAGTCACTTCTCTGAACCCTCTCTCATTAGGCTCTAGCAACTCTTAATCTA